CTATTTTACATGTCAATAAATACTACTGAAATTGTGTGGAAATGAAATATTTGCAGTGAATTTGAATGTGTTGTTTTGATGTTTTTCTCTAGTCTATTGCTTACTTTAAGACCTATGTTAATCTATTGTAAATGTCAGGGGTGCTTCGTCGGTACAAGGGTGAAACGGTTGGTGTGGTTTGTCTCGCTTCCACTGGCGTTTCTAATTCTATGAAACATGAGGTGAGGGCAAAGCCGATGGGAAGGGCTGGCAAGGATGACAAGGAAACAGTCGAGTCCCTGGGTGCTAAAGACTCATCAATTAAAAACGGATAATGCCAATGTTCTTACAAAATATCCCACAGAGCACGATGTTAGGTGTTGCCGTCTTCATCCAACTGCGTAACAAGGGACAGATAGTACAATTCCCACCACCCACAGAATAATTACGCAAATTGTAGAATCGATCCAGGCGAACGTCCTTGATGAGTTTCAAATGGTCAACTGAGATGCCCCGCCAATGCTCCACAACATAGAAACTGCCACGAGTTCCACAACATAGAAACTGCCAAGAGTTACACAATGGATGAGTTCGTAGAAAATCACAACGGTTTTTAATGGACACTTGAAACTAACTAAAGTCTTACCTTGGATGTAGAAAATGATTTTTCTGAAAGCCATTGTTTTGATGGAGGTTCAATTCAACTTAAGAGCGTCCTGCAGAGTTCCGAGATCCAAATGTTCGACCTTCGAAGTCTTGTTCTTTTTTCAGAATAGCGTTCCTTTGTCTACACCCTTTCAACTATGCTTCAAGCTTTCCACCCAGGTAGCTGTTGACACAGATCCAACAGAATGATCCACAAAGAACAGCGAAGGTCCTTTCCCAAAGTTTGATGCAACAGAGGTAACAAAAAATCCTGATGGTTGTACAGAAGACAACAAAGATTTTCCTAAAGTTGTTTTGATACAATTTGTCACAAAGGACAAAGAATTCTTTCCAAAACGTTTTGGGAGCTCTAGTCCAGTCTTGGGCGACTCTGTGCCACCTACAATTCGTTTGGTTAGACACGGGTGTAATTATCACTCTCTGTATCTTGATATAAACATTGTGCTTGTGATAAAAATGTTGATTACTGATAAACAGGTCAGATATACAGCTGTTATCAAAAATATCAAAGATATCACAAATAAGGTGGAGCAAAACACCAAGAAAGTGTGCCAGACATGGTCATATACGCCTACAGCTGTTATCAAATCAAATATTAGAAATAAGGTAGAGCAAAATCGCGACGTGCCAGGCATGATAAGGCATGATCATATACACCCACTGTGACTACATCTAAACCAAGGAATTTTGGATGACTGAAAAACCTAGAATTTAGATGAAAAATGTATCCTCTTTGAGAATTGAGAATACATAACTTCGGATCACAGTTAAGGATCCTTTCAACCAGCTGATCCTTGTCCAAAACTCTTGACATTGATCTTTCCTGGATATCTCTACCCATTTACAGCTGGGTCAACTGGAATTATGAATGAATTCTAACTTATATAAGGTAAACAGACTTTCACAAACTGATCGAAATAAGAACCCACATCGCCCATATTTTTGCTTGATGTAAGTAAGCAGGAAAAGAGGAGAATATAAATAACATAATTTAATACAACAAAATAATAAACTGTATATTAACATCAAGGTAATTATGAAAAAGGTACAAAAATAAACAGAACACAAACGTCATGCGAACGTAATTTTACCACATTCCTTAAAGACATAATAATAGTAGTAAGATATTTTTCATTGGTCTACCATGGTGAATTTTAGTTTAAAACAACACATTGTCTATTGGGAACTTAGTAACAAAACAGTTATTAGACTTTTCACCTTTTATAGGTACGTTATGACCGCAATTTAAGTCTATTTTGATCACAAGTTGTGTTCGTTTGGTCACAGCCAAATTCAACCATAAGTACATATTTATCGAACATAAGTATTCATTTATCGAACGTAAGTATTCATTTAACGAACGTAAGTACATATTTATAAGGACATGTACACTGTCAGTGGTTTCCTTAATTCGAGAAAAACGTGACCAGATTATAACGTAACTAGTGAATTCTTCATCTTTCCATTATCCATGTTTCAACACAAACTATTTTCATTTTAAATCATCTGTCCTTTTTCTCCTGTTTCTTCTACAAATAACTGAAGCTGGAAAATATAAAATTCAAAATCAAAGCCTTCATCTTCAAAAATAAAGGTAAAAAAATCAGAAAACATTAAATTTTGTTGCTTATATTGAGTACTAAGCCTGTGATTATGCCTGGTATTTTCCCAAGCGTATACCTGTTTCTCATAGCATCTTCTAGATATAAGAAAGGTTTACTATCTGTAGTAGGGTTCGAATGCCAGTTTAGATTAATCTTGTTTCAGGGTTACCTTAAAATAATCTGACTTCATAGCTCGTAAAGGAACTAACAAGGGATCTTTTAAAACAGTTTGGCTCTCTTCTGCTTCTATCCATGGAAAATCCTGAAATAACATAGTTTACAGTGATGTCTGTAGTAAATGATAAAATCTAAAGTGATGTCCGTAGTAAATCATAAAGAATTAATGTGATGTCTGTAATAAATCAACAAATTTATAATGTCAATGTTGGTAGTAAATGATAAAGATCTAATGTGATGTTTGTAGTAAATCATAAAGAATTCAGTGATGTCTGTAGAAAATCATAAAGTTTACAGTGATGTCTGTAGTAGGTCAAAGTTTTAAAGAAATATTTGTAGCAAACCATGAATTGTAATGTTGAAAGTGATGCCTGAAGTACAGTGATGCCTGAAGCAAAGTGATGTCTGTAGTAAATCATTTACTAGCAGTACTATACCTTAGTTTGTTTTTCCTCTATTTTACCCACAGCTGAGTCTCGTGTGTGAATATGAACAGTCCATGTACAGTCTAGAATATAATAAAATACAAAGTGAACAGAGTTAACTCACTGAACAGGAGAAGTCAATCTACATTACTCCCAGAAGTTGTTCAAGAAAGTGGGACTTAGGACTTAGGACTTTCAGATTATGCATCTATATCTCACTAAATAGTTTGAAATACAGCAGAAACATTAGGGAAGTAAATTACAGAGTCGCAGAAGTTTTATACAGCATTATACATGGGTAAATTGATTTTTCTAGTGTATAATGGGAAAAGGAAGGGGTGCGTATTATACACGGGTGCGCATTATATTCGGAAATATATGGTACGTACCCTCTGGTAAAGGTTTCAACATGGCATCACAAACTGTTAATTTTAATAAAAACGATCTGAGAGAGGCCTCCATTTCAAACAGATATTCATCACTAGAATGAAGTAATACAAGAAATTTGAAAGGTTTTTATAAATAACACACTTCAATTCCCTGCCCATCTATCAAGTTATTACGAATACAGTCAATCAGAGCCCTGGACAGAAAGACTGTAAACATTAGTTTTTACAGACTTTCTATCGACGCCTCTGATTGGATGTATTCATTAGCTTACAATCCAATCCAATCCAATCGCTGCACTTTCAAACTTCTGTGACACAAGAAAATTGGCAATTTCAGTCAAGGTATAAGAGGAAGTTTGCAATAACGTGTGGTTTTAGAAATGTTCCCACTTTTGCTTGAATTTCTCAAAAATTGAGAATTGGAGCAAAATGGCCTTGCAAAACCTCAGGAAATTTCTAAATAAGATGATTTTCAATAATTTCGATCAGACAAGGGCAATAACCCAGAACATACCTGGTTTTATTGTGAGAGACATTATGAGCAATTTCAAAACTAAATCTTTCTAGAGGTGTAAAGTTATCGGATGATAAAATAATAATGACAATTTTCTCTATTTCCCCAGTTTCTAATAATATTTTACAACTTTCCACAATTCTACTGATATAGATTGTCACGTCAGGATGAAGGCAAACCTGAAACATAAATATCTTTAGAACATTTTCAAATATTTTGTTTTGTGAAGTTTCTTTGGGAAGAATGGTTGTAACATTGCATTGAAAACAATATTACGAAAGCACAGGCACAGGACGTATAAGTTTCTAGTTCTAGAAAGTAAACAAGATTGTGTTAATGAGTAACACTTTCAAATCGGTTGTTATCAAGACAGTAGATAATCTGAATTAAGACAAGAATCCCATTTTTGAGATCGGGTTACATCTTTTAGAATTCTTCTTAGAAAATTAAATTTGAGCTTACAAAGTTATTACAGAGGAATGAAAAATGAAATGGAGTTTTATGTCCCACTTTTCTGCAACTGCTTGTAAGGACAAGTAATATCTTGCAGTGCTCAATTGGGGAAATTTTGGTCAGGACAACAGCATTAACCTACTATTTTTCAATCATTAACATGGATAATCTAAGAGGACATGACTCGTTTTTTGATTTTCAACTGTCTAGGAATTACAGAAGAGATATAGCTTACTTGTATAGGTACGTTATATTTTTTCCGTCTCTGAAACACTCCATGTGGGTACAAACTTCTGTTATATAATATACCATGTATGGCTACCTCCAGAAATTCACTTAAAATATCAGCTGATACTAAAAATAGATACCAGATAGCTCGGTTATTCGAATAATCTTTCATTTCCAATTTTACAGAAGATGAAATTCTTGGAATTCACTCAAAAAAATTGATCAGTGGTTAAAATACATCATAAATTCTACATCTCAGATTACCTCAGCACCATAGCTGAGCCCCATCCACCTTAAATAATTACCACCCCTCCCCCCTCTCCACAAGATATTAAGGAAGCTCCTTGGGCTTGCCAGAGATTCTAAAACACAGTCTTAAAGCGTTGAAAACATCTATCTACAATTTTGAGCAAAGTTCTATTTTCCCACCTTGATATCTGTTAACAGCCTCCATTTTCTATTTACTTTTATCTTCTATTCCTCTCAACCTCAAATCACACCATTTTCTCTTTTGGTTTACATTGACCATTCACCAGGTCCCTTGTATGAAAACATATGGACTGTTTAATTTGAGATAAGAAAAAAAACACAAGTTAGACTTCAAACTGGAGTTGTGAAATCCCCTGATATTTGTTGGTTGCATTTTGGCAGTTTTCTCTATTTATTCTGTTCGATTAGACAAAAGGGATGGTGTAAGGATAAGCAAGGTTCAAATTAAAACCATCGCTAGTTAGAACATGGAAGTTACTTAATCAACTATTTAACTGTGGTCTGAGCCAAAATCTTAAATCCATTGATTTTGACACACACTAAAAACTGTTGTACAAAAATTAAACCAACTCCGATTTTGGCCAGACAATACAAACTGAATATCTAGTCTTGCCACAATAGTTATATAATAAATAAAAGAACCATAAACTAAAATACAAACCTTGATTTTGGCTTAGACGTTTGAGTTCGGCACCAAAATTTTGTAAACAACAGAGTTATGGAACTTACCGGAAGTCGTGTTTTTGTTTACAAATGGCTACCACTACCAGGAAGTTGAAATTTGTGGAATTTTTTAAAATTTTTATTAGGGTTTTCGTTTTAAAATGTCCAGGATGAATATTCAAAGACCGAGATTATCGGATGAACGAGCTGCGATGCATTTCCCGAAAAAGATAAAAACAAATCTTTATTTTACATAAGATACGTTACATAGATCCAGGCTAAGATTCAGTAAGGTTACTTTACAAGATATATAGTTGTGTAACCTATTTTCGTGCATACAAGGATTCAACACCGAATTTCGTCAAATTTAAAAAAACAATTTTTTTTATATCTTAGATGTTTCTTCAGATATTCTACAAAATAATTAAAATTGGTTTATTTCGATTTTCTTTATGAATCCTTCACTTTAACCCATATTTCATGAGCAACCAACTCGGCAACGGCGGCAGAATGCGTCACCTATTTTCGTGTACAATGTTTGATCTATAAATAAGTCTAGAAAAACATGTTGTATGGATACTTATTTATTGCTAAAAGTCATTGAAACAACATAAGAATATGGTCCACTTTGTGTTCCATAGAATTTTTTCGGCTGACACGGAATCCGCTAGTTGATCACGTGACTTCATGCGTTGGACTACATTCTAGCAGACAACACTTGAAATTCTGATTACAGCTAGGGATTATAAGGAAATTCGGCTGATAAAAAATTGTATTTGTCAAAGTATACATTAATACATTTAACCTTGCTTGAAACTACTGGATTCATTCTACTAGCTGACATTGTACAAATAACCCATGTTTATCAAAACAAGCAAATGTGGAGATCACGCGAGGTCGCGCATGTAAATTATTAATCATTTCTGGAGATGCATGAAAAATAGGTTAGCACAAAATTAGGTTACTTGACTGTATTAACAAGAAGGTATAACTTCTGATATCTAATAAGAGACAGATGCGGAATTTCCCAGAATAAATCATACCCCAGAAACATGAAATGGTCCGCTATTTAATCAATAATAATGTTCACAGCTTACCAATCGAAATTTGACCCTTCAAATCCATGTGTATCCATAATTATCCATGTTTGAAAGTTCTTTTAATTTTGACGGAACAGATGCGCCACTTTGGGGGGTTGATTTGAGTCTTGAAAATATGTAAATAATCCTTAGTACTTTGTGATTTTCTCTTAGGTTTTCCGTGTAATCTATTTTGTGTCACCTAATTATTAGAAACCCTACTGTTTTGTATTAGGAAATTTGTAAGCTTGAGTTTTACTTACCTTTTATGATATTTTTATCAGTAGGCCTAGTTAAAATAGAATATCACTGATCTTCTTCAATTTCATGTTTAGGTTAACTAAACACATATCAAATTTGTTTTTAAGGAAATCCTTATTTTCTTATACAAGTCCTGTCTCATACAACTGTGTGGAAGATTTAATTTTGACAGTGACTTTATCTCAATCTTGAATATTTGTGGACTATTTTGTGATTTGATAAATGCAAATTTACACCTATATATCAGTTTTTCTAGAATATTATATCATGTACACATACGCACAAGTGATTTGAGGGCTTAGTTGAATTATTATAAAAAAAATTGACTTCATAAGTCATGAAAATGGTTGTTAATTATAAAAGAGACAAGAGTTATTTTCTGATTTTAATGAAATTCTGTGTGATTATACAGATTGCAAATTCAGAAATTCAAATAAACAAGACCTTAAAATAGTAAGCTTAGTTAAAAATTAAATAGTTTTAAGATGACAAGTTCAAGGTTAAAGTAAGTAACTATATGCAAAAGATTCAGGTAGAGTGCAAGATTGTTTCTAATATTTTATGATTAATTTCAATTACTAAGTATAATCTTATACTTACTTATGTCATAGAGCATAAAGATCACAAAAAAATATAATTGAAATTTCAAACAGAGGAATTTTTCTATACAAATACAAATACTTTATTTGATATAGAGCGATTTAGAATATTACATCAAAAAAGGCGCTTTACAATAAAAAAAAAAAAAAATAAAAAAACCATTAGTCATTGCCTATAAATAGTCACTTACGTCATTACCATTGAAAATACCTACCGCGGCAGGTATAAAATTCACGCAGGTTAGTTGCGCTATAAAATATGACCAAGGGTATTAAAGGATGGTATTTGATGTCAAGTTTTATTATTTATTACATCAAGTTCAGTATACCAGTACATCAAATGAATCGCTGTACTACTAGTGGTATTGGTGATCCCATCAAAAAGTCTGTGGTTGGTTATTGCTGCCTGTTTTTTCTTTTTGGAATCACCACATTATAATGGGGTTGTATATTGTCGTCGCCCCTGTCCGCCCGTCGGTCTACAATTGGCTTGTGAACGCAATAGAGACAACAGTTTTTATCTGATTTGAATGAAATTTGGTGTTAATATTTATAATGATGAGATCATTGTCAAGTCTGAAGTTGGCTATATTTCGATGAATGGTTTTTGAGTTATTGCTCTTGACTCAGTAAAAACTCATCAAAATTTGTTGGTGATAGAGGTGACAGTTTATGTCAGAATTTTATTAAATAATGTGTCTTTGTGTGGTTTGACATTATGACATCATAATGATGACCCAGTAATTTAACCGTGCCATGCAATGAACAATATCTGTTCACCTATAACATAAAGTATTCTAAAAATGGTTAAAATATCAAAAACAGCTGTACAACGAGAGTAATGATGTCAACAACAATATGATGTCATGACGTCATCAATAATCTCTAAAACGCATGCAATTTCAAGAAAAGTTATTTGTTAATCAAAATTTCATTCAAACATGTCATGAAAAATAGATTTTATCTGTTTTTGAATACTTGTGTGTTAATTTCCTAATGACTGTCAATTATTCCTACAACTTCCTGTACATTTAATCATTATACAAAAATTTTTGTTCAATTTTCTGTTTTCAGTATCAAACCTTTTGAAAGAATGTGGGATAAAGTTAAGATTACAAGAAAACTGGGTAGCGGAGGATTTGGAACTGTTTATTTGATGGAAATAGGAAATGATATATACCATTATATATACCAGGTAAATGTTTGTGATAATATACAGTATAAGTATTACTTTAAATCAAGTAACCAGTAATCTTGTATAAGAACAGAATCAACTTTAAAATATCAGTAAAAATAGATTCTAATTATATCATTTGAAGATTCATGTGAGTTCTACTGGATTGCTTGCTTGAATTGTTTTCCATCAAATCTTATAAAAATCACCAAATTAGAATTATATCGTAGACAAACCTGATTTCAGATTTAATGTTCAAAGTGTGATAATACAAAATTTGATCTTCCCTTTTTCAAAACCGAGTTGTTACTTTTAAACTAACGTTATTTTTCTGATGGTGACTATGATGAAATTTTCCCACTTGAATTTCAGCTTGCTGTTAAGGAGATCAAATATAGTGATCATGTAGATGGAATGAGAATGATGAAGGAAATTGAAATTATGAAAAATTTAAACCATGGAAATGTGGTAAATCTTATGTTGGCTATGACAACCAAATGAATGGTACTATATTATTATTAATGGAATATTGTCCTGGCAGCGATCTCAGAAATTATCTCCAGGCTCGCAAACCTTCAAATTATCTCACAGAATCAGAAGCTGTAAAATTCGCGAGTCAGATAGCATCAGCTATTATGGTAAGTTGTAAAATTGTTTTTATTCATAATTTCAGCTGAAGTTTGGATGACCAAATTTTAACTGACAAATTCCCAGATGTAGAGATAAAAATTCAATAAAAATTGCCATTTCTTTCAGAGTTTGTAAGAATACCGTATTCATTCTGATTGAAGCCCCTGTCTGAATAAACGCCTCCCCCCTCCTTTTCCGTAAAATAATACGTGATGAAAACTGATAGTTAAAAAGACTGGAGGGTGGCAGGATACTATTTTTAGATTCCAGGTGTCAGCAAATTCACCTGTATCAAAAGATCTATTGTTGAGTGATTTTTATCAATAAATATATTTGTACTGATGACACAAATAAATGTTGTTAACTTTACTCATAGTTGTAACAAATGAAAGTTATGTAAGGTTATTCGTTTGATTAATCTATAACAAGTTGTATTTAATGGGGTAATTTTGCTGATGATAGCAGATGTGATGATTAATTCAAAGCGGAATAATATTTTCAACAAGGGCACTCTTTTCACTGTGAAATGTGATCTGATATCCACTTTAATATTTGCAGATCATATATACCCTGGTGCGTGCGTAAAATAGTCTATTTCAAATAGCATGGACACTCAATCAACAGCGAGAAAATGGGCTTTAAACTGCCCTTTCTCAGCTGTATGTTCCAGGAGGATAAAATTCATCTCAAAGTATCATTAAATAGCTTCCAAATTTAATAATGTAAAAATGATTAGTTTTGAGTTAGTGGGATTTGAGAAGGAGGTTTTAAAGACATCAAGGTGGGGATTTTACTGCAGTGAGTCCCCAATGACATGCTATTATCTTTGTTTGTTTGCGTTATGAGCCTCCTTCTGGATTCAATATGGTTGACCCGTGAATAAGGTATATGGATTTTTTCTATTCTTTTCTTTTTTGTTTCAGTATTTACACCAGAATAACATTATACATCGTGATATTAAACCAGAGAATATTCTGTTAACAATGGACCAGAATGTCAAGCTTGCAGATTATGGAATATCAAAGTAAAAACCCATCCTGCTTTTTAAGAAACATTCACGTGCAACACAAGTGCATTCGGTTTATATCTGTGTAAACGAAATCAAAATATAAGCTCCGCCCCTTAACAGACTACTTTTATCATTGAGTTTGATTGATGCTGCCACTACACGGCGTCGATGTCGTTCCTTCGAATGTCAACTATGACGGTATTTTTCGAATGTGCACACTCCAAATTCCAACAATATCATGAATTACAGACTTATTTCAAACTCGTCTTTCAATAATTGCACTTTCAACGTGGTTGTCCGTCAACTTTCAGGCAGTAGACAGTAAATAGGGTGACCTACTTATTGCTGACTGGCTGTTCTTTAGGACGTCTCTATTGTTAGTATCAGTTCATTAACGTTATGTTAAAATTTTAGGTATTTATACGCCAATTTAGTGCCTTAAGTTGTTTATTTAAACACGTATATTCGAGTTGGTTTAATTATGACCTGAACATTTTTTCAGTTTATCGATGTATAAACAGAAAAAACCTGTGTACACTTATGTATAAACATACATCGATGTTCAGTTCATTCCTTAATTATTTTTTTCACTCTTAAAGGTATGTGGTCACATAATTATATAGGTTACTAGCTGATAGCTTACTGAATCTGACAAGATATAAATCTTCAAAAAACATCCTCATAAAGCAATGACAATTTGAAAATCAGGGCCTTGTACAATTAAATCAAAATAGAAATAAAAGAAATTTGCAACTTTGAATTCTAAGCAGGTCGAAAATTCAGTAGTCGCAGTGAAAACACAATGTGGTACCTTGTTTTACATGGCACCTGAAATACTCAATAGTCTACCATATAGTTATAAGGTAGGCTCGTATTCTATCTATCTTATCAAGTTCGCTTATGACAAGATTTCTCAAAGTAAAGTGGCTAAAACAACCAGTCCCTATTCAACAGAAGGCACTGACACGGGGATAAAGTTTATAAAATTTTTTGTTATGCTAATAGTAAATTTACTGATATTTATAGTAGAACCTTCACAACCTCTTTTTGAAAAATTTATGTCAAGGATTATACCTTCAATATCTTGGAAAATTTCAAATTTGGTTTTCATTTGACAAATTCATTTAATTAGTCAGTCTGGCTCGATAAACAAAATCAAATTTGCATGTTCTTAATTTTCATATATTTTATATTAAATCTCTATTGTATCTCAAGGAATGCCTGACAAAAGCCACAACGCAATTTTTCAATAGGAAAAGCCAATTTTGAAAGGTTTTTACTAAGTCAAGGGCAATAACCGTTCATCTGATTATTACCATTTTCGAACTTGAACAAGATCTGGTCCATATATACATGCATACCAAGTTTCATTAAGATCGAATAAAAACTGTAGCCTTTATCATGCAAACAAAAAATGTAGACGGACAGGGGTGACAGCAATATACGTCCACATTTCCATGTGTAATAAATTATAAAACTTGACATCAAATACCATCCTTTAATACCACATTTCCATGTGGGCATATAAAAAGTATTCTACTAAAGGCCTGTCATTCTGATAATATTATTAACTAATTAAAAATTCATGTAAAACAGTTTCTTGAAAAAACAAGGAATTGTGAGAGAACAAAACCTAATGTAGAGCCATATTACAGCCTTTTTATACGCCCACATCTCTCTATGTGGACGTATATTGTTGGCACCCCCGTCCGTCCTTCCTTACTTTATCAGGAAACGGGTTCTACATATTGTGCTATTGTTTTTGTAGGCAGATTGTTGGAGTTTTGGATGTGTTTTGTATGAATTGATGACGCTGCAATACGCTTTTGGTGTCATTTTTTTAGGAAAGGTTAATAAAAAAATTTTATATATGATAGGTCAATGTTTACAATGTTTGAAGTGAAAATGTTACAAAAGATTTTTTTTAAATATTGATATTATCTAAGTGGCAATAAAGAGTTGAAAATAATGCTTAATGGCAAAAATATTTGACGTAATTTGAAGGGTAATTGCTTGTTGTTTGTTTGTTTGACTTAAATCACAAGTTGAAATTGATGCCATTATTTGTGTTTTCATAGTTATAATTTCTGTTTTAGTTCAACCCCCTGCCATTCCTTGGGATATACAATAAGGATCTACACAACTTGGTACATGGTTTACTGACTTCTGATGTTAACCAACGCTTTAATATGGACAATGTTTTATATGTTCTACAGGTAATATATCAACCAAAATATGGGTTAGCTTTATATAGGGAAATTATAAAATGATGATTGATATAATGAAACTAACAAACTACAAAATATCACATAAGTTGCTTATTTAAGCTGAAATAAGATAGAATTAATGTCATGGGATTATTTTTGTATTTTTTCGGGTGCATATTATTTACAGTGACAGATTTTTATTTCACTCATTCATTTGATTGAAAATACTTACAGGATTGTAAAGAAGTTTTCTAAACTTTTTATGTGTATTGGGGACACTGACAGCATTAATTTGCACCATTTCAATTTTCTATCAGACATCTGTGGTTCTATCAATTCCACTAAAATTAACATGTTTTATGACATCACCCCCTCAAAAGTATTGAACGGGTAAAGTCATGACACATTTTGTTTTAGTGGAATTGTGCAAAATTGACGCTATCAGTGTCCCCAATACACATAAAAAATTTAGAAAACCTCTTTACTATCCCTTTAATTCTTGTATCTAAAACTAAAGGCAATTTACAGTGCTGTTGTACATTGTAAAAAATGGATATAAAGATAAAAATGCCACAGAAATAGTACTCTACAGAATTTGAAACCGTTTTGTTTCCTATGTATGATCAGAACTTGATTATTTTTTGAAAATTTCTAGAGAGAACTTGTCTAATGGAACTTGATTTTGAATGTGACCTGTTTAAAATTTACCACATTAGAAAAATAGAATTTTAAAGTGTTGCCACTTGACTACCAAATGAGCAAAATCTTGGATGGATCAGATCAAAGCATTTATTGTAGAATAGTCTCATTTCTCAAGTCAGCGGTCAATTTGTATTTTCTATCTTGAATGATATATTTGTATATTTCAGAAGATGGGGACAATTGTTCCTCAAAATCTACTGCTAGCACCAGTAATTCTAAATTTACCTTCCGATATTGGTGTAATGGAAGCTCTCAAAAATTTTAAAATGGAACAATATCTGAAAGTCAATCAGTAGTATTGTTCCCAACTCACTATCAAAATTGGATCCTTCCTATGTGACTTCGCCCAAAATCAATTTTCAGAGTTCAACAAACTTAAGTTAAGGCTCCATGAAATTGAGAAGTCTGACTGCATATAAGACTTTTTATAACTACAGATGTCAAAGTAACTAATTACTGTCAATTTTTAATGCCCAAACTATTTAAAAGGCTTATGTAAACTTTTTAACTTTGTTATGGTCTTTGAATAAAAACTACTGTGTGGATTTAAGCAAAATAAACTGGTTTCAACTAAAAATATTGAGTCCCTATGAAGCCCAACATCAAAACTAGTTTCAGCTGCTTAATGAACTCGAACTAGCAGACTGTCCAGCGGCCCTAAAATTCTTAAAAGAATCTGGCTCAAGTTGTTCCAATAAACAGGGCGCTACCCACCAATGTATTTGTTATCTTCTCAAATTGACCAGAAAGAGCTAGCTATAAGACTTAGACTGAGTCCCTATGAAGCCCAACATCAAAACTAGTTTCAGCTGCTTAATGAACTCGAACTAGCAGACTGTCCAGCGGCCCTAAAATTCCTAAAAGAGTCTGGCTCAAGTTTTTTTGGTTCTTAAGTGTCAACAGCCTGTAGCAGAAACTAGTGGCAGCCACTGACTGATGTTTGAAATGAAATGAATGGAGTTTTACATCCAATATTGCACCTGACTAGGCTAGTGATGACGGGCAGTGTGCAATGAGGGAAATTTTGCCAGGACAGTAGCATTAGTCTACTCTTTTTCAGTTAGAAAGCTTCACAAATATCTGATAGCTATTTTGAAAGTTGTTGGCTGGTGTGGAGACAGAAAAACTAGACCCTGTTTTGTGGATATTTTCTGCACCTCAGAGAAGGAGGGTGTTTAAAACATATTATTTATTTAAATCAGATCTGCCAAAACCCAAATATATTTTGAAAGATGAATATTTTCTCTCTGAACTTTTGGCTGCGCATAGAGTTTTAAATGGCCGATTCTAGATCAATTTCATTCAAAAACAAATTTGATGGAACTGGAGACATAAATGGTGTAGGGAGAAAATGATGGTAAGACTGAACTACAAAAATATTCATCTTTCCAAATATATATGGGTTTTGCAGATCCAAGGTATCTAAATAGCTTTTAAAAACCCCAGCACCTGCGGAGATGTGGAAGGTCCCCAATTTTTTCTGTCTCTACACCAGCCGACATCTGTCTAAATAGCTTTATCACTATCAGAGTCTGGAATAAAACAGATATTTCAGTCTACTTAAGAAAATCCCCATCAAACAGGGCCTTGTTTTCTGTTCCTGCACAAGCCAACAATTTTCAAAACAGCTATTAGAGGCTAGAATAGAGTCAGAAACATCGCCCTTTACATTATTAATGAACTATTTTACTGTGGTCTGAGCCAAAATCGTAAATTCATTGTTTCACACCTAACACTAATGTAAACACAATTCTGAATTTCGGCTCATAAATACAATAAAAAAATATTTAGTCTTGTCACAAAAGACATACAAAAAATTAAATAACCATAAACAAAAATCCAAACCCTGATTACGCTTTGACGTTTGAGTTTGACGCCAGAGTTATGGAACTTACCGGAAGTCGCCTGAAGTTGAAGGTTGTGTTTTTGTTTACAAATGGCTACCAGGAAGTTGACATTTCTGGAAATTTTTATTATTTTATTATGGTTTTAAATAGTCCAGAATGAATATTCTCTGATTATGATTGCTGACAGCCATATTTCTCTACGATTGAATTCTCCAAGAAGGCAAAGACGAATCTTTGATAGATAAAGCTTTGGTAACTTGAAAATCATAATTTTCTTTCGCGCCGATGATATTATTGCCGGGTGGGGTATGCAAGTGACAAGACAAGTGATTCTTCGTGGACGCATAAAAAAAATAGAGATGTAGAGAGAGTTTTCTTAGTAAAATCTTACCAATCTACCTGGCCTAAACCCGCAGACACACAAACCTGAATTCAAGATGGATGTAAAAATAGAAAGGCAGCTTGGTAGAGGAGCTATGGGAATTGTGTACTTAATGAATTTTAAAAGTTCTAAACAAAAACAGAAAGAGGTAGGTGTTTGTGACTTGTCTAGATTGTTTGTCATTTGTTATGCTGTGACAGGTGTCCAAATAGGAAGGGACATAACTCTTTTTATGACATGTTTCAACTACCGCTATCTGGAAATTTGATTAACGGCAGGATTGTATCGGAAATGGAAATGTTCTGATAAACAGGGTGCTACCCACCAATGTATTTGTTATCTCCTCAAATTGACCAGAAAGAGCTAGCTATAAGACTGAGTTTGTATTTAGATTGCAGACAAACTGGATTCCCAGATTTGAAAATTAAAGTTATAGAGTTCAAAATCAGAATGAGTTCCTTTGGTTTTTCTTTCTTTTTTGAAATAGAACAATAAAGCTATTATTTTTATACTTCTTCAAAATATTTTCTGATGATAATGAAATTTGTCCATTTTTATTTCAGTTGGCTCTGAAGATTATGGAAAGCGACAAGGGGCCGTTGAGAGAAAGAATGCTTCAGGAAATGGAGATTATGAAAAATTTAAACCATAAACATATTGTTAAATATTATACCGGGCATCTACACAAAGATAAAATATTATTATTATTAGAATATTGTCCTGGAACCGATCTCCATGACTACCTCCAGGCTCTCAAACCTTCAAAATATCTCACGGAATCAGAGGTTTATCGATTCGCGAGTCAGATAGCATCAGCAATACTTGTAAGTTTTAAAAATCATTCTCTCTTATTGGGCTGAAGTCTGTAGGATACACTAAGACCTGTTTCACTTAACCTGTAACTGGTACCTTGTTTTATCATTAAGCTATACCTTGTGACCTAGGCCAGTGTTTTAGTGAGACTATGTTATCATCATTACAGGACACAATTATATGGATAACAATTACTTTAATGAATAACTTGCGACCTTCGTTGAAACGTTTCAAGTTATTTATTAAAGTAATTGTTATCTATATAATTGTGTCAAGTTCTTCATACCCCAGTTACTTAATGCCACTCAAGGAAGTTATGTTATCATCGCCTTCTAACACAAATTATATCTTCAGACAACTGATCTATATCAGCCTCTGTCACTACTGAAGTTTGACAAGAAGAGATCTTCAGAAAACTGACCTAATTCAGCCAGTGTCCCTACTTAAGTTTTACAAGTAAAATTTATTTTTTGCTTTTTGTTTCAGTATTTACACAAGAAGCATATCATCCATCGCGATATTAAAACAAAGAATATTTTATTAACGAAAGACAACCATGTTAAACTAGCAGATTTTGGTATATCTAAGTATGTCCTAATATTTATTATTTATTAGCCACCTATACGGAAATATCAAACTCTGAAAAACTCTCCGTAATATGCAAAAGTTTGGCTATGTGAATTCTACAAAATAAGAAAAATGATAGATATGTGAATTCTAAAAAAAAGATACAGCCAATCATAGCCCTCTATTACACATGCAGCTGAAGTGTTTATTAACAGTGTTTCTGTCAAGGGCACTGATTGGTTCTATTCGCTTCAATCCAATCAAATTACTGCATTTACAAAAACAAAAAGTGGCTATTGCAGTCAAGGTATAAGCTGCAGTTCGTAATAGATGGGTAAAGATATGAGATCAGGTCCTACTACAATTAAATCAAAACTGACTAAAACTGATTTGAAATGTGTAATTTTAGGCAGTTGGAAAACACAATAGCTGTAGCTGAATCATACGTTGGTACTCCATTATACATAGCTCCAGAAATATTTCTACATCAACAGTATAATTATAAGGTAAACTTGTATTCCATCATCTCTTTAACATGTCTTAAACTCTTTCATATTTCTACCGTGTTTCATTTTAGTAGGTAAACCTCGTATGAGGGACTGTTAAATGATTTACAAATCAGTTTGCTGTGTGAATTTCAAAAGTTTTTTTTTTTTTAGTAGATATGTTGTAACATAAGAAATTTATGAACATGATTCTATACAACTAATGAACTGACATCAGATTTTATATTTGATCATTGGTGACTGCTTACAAAAGGAATAAACTCTGAGTAATGTTCTTCTCCATAGTAGATTAGATCCCCTTTCATTAACTCCCTTTGCATTTCTGAATTATTTGTTTATCTTGGAAATCTCTCCAGAAGTAGGCGATTTTCTATCAAATTGATGTATTCCAATGCTGAAATCCACAGTCCCTACTTGTGACCTAGGCCAGTGCTTCTGTAAGAGAGTCTCTTACAAAACCTTATACCATTATTTAATACCACTCAACAGCTAACGTATTCTTGATGTCCAACAGAGGCTAGTGATTCTCAGACATTTGATATACCCTACTACGCATGTCTGGAAAATAGATGAATCAAGTTGAAGCTGCCTTGCATCATAACAAAGTTTATTATTTATAGGCTGATTCATGGAGTTTTGGATGTTGTTTATATGAGTTAATGTCTCTTCACTTCGCATTTAAACAAGGCAGTGAAGACAACAGCTACATTAGACAGAGAATACTTTCTGGACAGGTTAAAAAACTTGTTATAAATATTTATACCAATGGAGCTCTCTTTCAGCTGATACTATCTGGTTTTCTCCTTGTCAGTGATGATAAATGACGTGGAATAGAGTGCAGTGTGCAATGAGGGAAATTTTTGTTATTTGTCTACTCATTTTCGTTTTCCAACTTTTGAGAGATCTTTAGCAGTGCTCAGCCTGTAGTTCACACAGTCTCAGTTGATTTTCCTATACGAAAGACACAACCTGCCAGCCCCTCCAACCTGCATCACTGACAAAGGGAACTAAGACTATTTTAACAAATTGAAGCCATGGAAAACTCTGTTATAGATATTAAGGATAAGAAACTGGTTTTGAAATTTAAAGGGATTGTAAAGACTAAGTGTTTGATGATGTCACTAATCACGAAGGGTCGTATGTGTTAAAGGATATTTGGTGATTAGTGACATCATCAAACACTTAGTTGTAATGAAATTGCAAGAACCACAGACATCTGACTGAATATTGGAATGATGTAAATTGATGTTATCAATGTCCCTGCTACACATAAAATATTTAGAAAACCTCTTTACAATCTCTTTAAGTACCTTTCAATCTGTATAATGATAACCTCTATTTTAGTTCCACCCTCTACCATGCAAATATAATATTAATCTAGAAAACATAGTGGAAAGTTTACTGGTTGTTGATGTTGACCAACGAATGGACATGAATGATGCCTTCTCCTATCTACAGGTATAATATTAATACCAAATTAAACTCAGATACTGTAACTTTGTTTCCAGGATCCTCCTTTTGAATTTTTCATTTGATATCTTGACAGTGTGTTGATCTTGATTAGTGTTAAAAATTTACCACTCTTGAGATGAGAAAAGCTAGTAGTTGGACACCCCTCAAGATTTTAGTGAACTCTTCGTCACAATCATACTTTCAATCACTTTGATGTATGCTGTTATTAATTTTAAAAGAGTCCATTTTCAAAATTAGGGGCCAAAACTTTTAATTCTGTCATTTTATATCTTGAATTATGTGTTTATATTTTAGGGATTGAGGGACGATTCTGCTGAAAATCTGCAGCCAGCGCCAGAAATTCCAATTTTACCTGACAAAAAATCTGTAATGAGTGCTATTAGAAAATATAACATTGAGTGTAATCAGAGTTCGGGGTCCGAGGATCATGACGCTGAAAATGAGGTCATGGAATATGCTGATGATTTTGAATCCGATCCAGACTCGCACTCAGATCAATGGACAGTTTTAAGGAGGACTTACGAAGCAGACGTGGATTCTGTAACAGAAACAGTCAGGTCTACGGGAAGAAAATTCAGACAATCCCAAAACTATGATTTGAATTCTACAGCAAGTAGTATGGTGTCTTCAGACGACACGTTGACTGGTACCAGTAGTACCAACTCTAGTGTCTGCTCTAATTCTAGAAATTTCCAGGATACAGATTCCTATGTTAAAGAGGTTTCCAGTGGTTTAAGGGAAAATTTGATGTGTTTAAACGTGGATAAAAACAATACTTCTATAGATAGTAGAGATTTGAAGGTAATGGCCTGCTTTTAACCGGGATTACCCTGTCAGTGATGCAGGTCTGAGGATCTGACATGAAAAAGGGAATCAATCCCAGCATAGAGCGATATAATAACTTCAAATTTTTCAACCTTGTTTCCATCTGTCAATGATGCACATTGACCCTGTTTCCATCTGTCAGTGATGCACATCAACCCGGTTTCCATCTGTCAGTGATGCACATCAATCAGTTTCCATCTGTCAGTGATGCACATCAACCAGTTTCCGTCTGTCAGTGATGCACATCAACCAGTTTCCATCTATCAGTGATGCACATCAACCAGTTTCCATCTGTCAGTGATGCACATCAACCCGGTTTCCATCTGTCAGTGATGCACATCAAAAGGGCTGGCATTAAAAAGGAGTCTAGTCGTTCAGATGAGACAATAAACCAAGATCCTTTGTACTACAGGCTGTGCATGTTAAAGATCTCTAGACAGACAGTAAGGTTTGCTTACAACATCTTAGGAATTGTATTTGTAAAGAGGTTTTTTTTTAATATGTATCGAGTAAACTTATAGATCCAAATTCTGTAGTTCAGGAATCTACAAAATTGTGTGTTTTATTTTTTGTTTTTAGCCGTCCGAGTTAGATAACTTAGGTAATGGGAAGAAAAAGAAAAAGAAGTCATATTTAAAAGGTTAGATATTATTTTAAGGCTGCAACCTGATGAAAGAGGCTGGGGTTATTTTAAACATCCATGTATCTATACAATTACAGAGGTTTTTAAATGGAATAATATGGCAAACAAGAGGTGACAGTATTCAAAATGTTACAAAAGCAAATGAAAAAAAAATTCAATAAAAAAATTGATAATTCTGTGTGCAAAAGGATAAAAGACATTCTTGTTAGTTAAAGTCTTTCTTAAAGACATAGCCCGAGAGTTTGAGATAATAACTTCAGATTTTGAATCTGTTTCCCCTATAAGTAATGCATGTATGAGGGCTTGACATGAATTTTGATTAATTTACCAGGCAACAATCTTGAAAATTCGAAATGAGTATTAAGTAACCCAGAGAGCTCAAATGAAACAAAATATACACAGCTATTGTTATTAATATCAGTTTCTTATTACAGAAAAAAGTAAAAGCATAGACATAGCTGGGAACGTCACGAAAGAACCTATAACTCTTTATACACGAAGTCAAAAAGTGGTCTACAACAAACAAGACAGTACTGATAATAAACCCTCGGTTTTAGAGTAAGTTTTATTTGTATTTTTTTTGTCTGCTGTACTTTTCAGTTACGTCTTGTAACTGTGTGTTACACTGAACAAAATGAATATCTAGTCTAGAAGAGTCTAGTTTGTCTACAATTAAATATATAGCCGACAGACTACTCGACAGTCTAGTGTTGTCTCATGTCTCATTGCCTACGTGCAACTGACTGTAACACTTACCAAACTGAAATCCTGTTTGTCTACAATAAAAGAAAAACTGATAATCTGATCTTGTCTCAACTTTCTTAATTTGCCTTCATGGAACTGACTGTAACACTTACCAGAATGAAAACTTGAAATGGAGTTTGTCTTCAATTAAAAGATAATTATTGTATGTTCCTACAGGCAGTTCCGTGAAGAAGTTGGAGAAGACAAATATTTACAAGTTGCCCGTCTGAAAAAATTTATCACAAATCCCAAATTATTAGAGGTAAGTTCTAAGTATACTCAAATCATTTGGGGAAGGGGCCTGAATATGGGCAGGTATTGTCAAGGGGGGGACTCACAGGCTCAATTTTTCAGGCAAATTTGAAAGTGGGAGACCAAGGCCAAATACCAACTCCAACCCCCACTAAACATTTTTTAACATTTTTTATTTTTATTTTTCAGCATCAACTGAAAGATATAATTGGCAATACACTATATAAAAGATACAGTAACTTATTAATAAATTCCAATAGCTGGTAGCTGCTTTTATTTACACTTAATGATAGTTTGAATTCTCTAGTATCCTGTCTTTGATCAAACTTCTTGACATTGATTTTAGAGGACAACAATTTAGATTCTCAAGGATCCTGTCTACCAGCCGGTCCTTGGTCAAACCTCTTGACATTGACTTTACAAGGATAACAACCAAGGTTCTCAAGGATCCTTTACAAGGACAACAACTAAGGTTCTCAAGGATCCTTTACAAGGATAACAACCAAGGTTCTCAAGGATCCTTTACAAGGATAACAACCAAGGTTCTCAAGGATCCTTTACAAGGACAACAACTAAGGTTCTCAAGGATCCTTTACAAGGATAACAACCAAGGTTCTCAAGGATCCTTTACAAGGATAACAACTAAGGTTCTCGAGGATCCTTTACAAGGATAACAACTAAGGTTCTCAAGGATCCTTTACAAGGATAACAACCAAAGTTCTCAAGGATCCTTTACAAGGATAACAACTATGGTTCTCGAGGATCCTTTACAAGGATAACAACCAAGGTTCTCAAGGATCCTTTACAAGGATAACAACTAAGGTTCTCAAGGATCCATTACAAGGATAACAACTAAGGTTCTCAGGGATCCTTTACAAGGATAAGAACTAAGGTTCTCAAGGATCCTTTACCAGGATAAGAACTAAGGTTCTCAAGGATCCTTTACAAGGATAAGAACTAAGGTTCTCAAGGATCCTTTACCAGGATAAGAACTAAGGTTCTCAAGGATCCTTTACAATGATAACAACTGGAATAATGAGGAAAAGTGACTAATTCTGTAACCATTTAGAGCTGGGTTGACTGGAATAACAAAGACAGATGACTTAAAACTATATTTAACTTAAAATTATAAAGTTCTAATGTATATGATTGAACCTTTTACCGAAATATTTGTCTGAAAAAATTGACTTATTGTACCTGTTTTTTTTTTATGAAATATGCTTGTGATCATATGATATTTTTATTATTTTTCTGTTTTTTATTCATATTTACATTACAATATATCACATTATTGATAAAAGATTTATTTTTTCATGATGATGTCTATTTAAAGAACTCCCCTCAGTTTGAAATTAAACTAGAGTAAATTGCTACTTCTTTCCTAGCAAAATTTGCCCCATTGTGCACTGCACGGACTGTCTTCATGGGCCCAATTAGCTACTGAATGCAAACAGTGAAATTCAACGTTTTCGGTTAAATGAAAAATTTACTGTAGTCTGAATTATATAGAATGGAGTTGTGTCCCTTGGTTCATTAATTGTTAGATGAGTCACCGCTCAAATCGCAAATTAATTTATTGTAGTCTAAGTAATAATCAAGATTTACTTCCCTTTAAACATGAACTTGCCATAGGATATCTATGGAACTTGCTCCAAGCTTGACTGAGTATTTTTTTGTAATGAATTGAAATGGAATTAAACTGGTGATGACGAGAAGCACCATGCAGTGTGCAATGAAGGAAACTCTCCCAGAATATAGGCACTAATAGTACATGTATATTCTTCTTCCAGGCCCGTAGCTTAGGAGGTATATCTTTTGCCCCCTCTCCGCCCAATCAAAACTTAGATGACTTACTGAGGCACATAGTTGAGTTCCCCTGAGACCCTTGGCTGGCTTCTGGATTGGTTACTCCATTTTCCTAATTGCCACTGGGGTATCCTTAACGTCTGCAATTGTTCCAATGCCAAATTTAGCAATTTTTGCATATATGTGGGACGGGGCTGTCCTCCTATCCCTCTACCCCCCAATCCCTCCTTTCAACCAAACCCCACCCACCCCACCAAATAATATGTTTTCTGACAGCAACTTTGGGCAAAACAATTACTGATGTTTGTAGGTCCTCAAAAAAAAAAGGATGCGAGTTCTTTTGCACTAATAATTACTGAACCACACCCTAAAATTTCTTCTTTCCTCATTTTGATTTATGTCAATGCTAATGTGCTTTATAGGGTTCTGTAACTGGTAGGATAAGAGTTTTTACATCCAAATGATTATTGATAATTACTATAAATGAATCAATCCCAGCTTTTTCTGGGGGTTAATTCTCATCTCTTGCTGGGGCCCAGCCCCCACGGACCCCACCCTAACGACAGGGCTGCCACTGCCCCACGTCCATACCCTAATAATTTGGCCTTCTTGCATTTGCATAATACCAATATGGTTTATATGTGTTATTCTTTTGGAAAAAAAGAGAAATAGAACGATGCTCTTACAAAAATCCGACCCGGTCCCATCACTGCTGCCTATACTATAAGCAGATGTCAATGACTTATAGATGAAATGGTGAAATCTGTCTCCAAGTTGACTTTTCAATGCTGTTGAAACCGACACGGAGTCAATGTTCCTGTCACAATGATAAAGTATAGTAGCAATTCACGACCTTTGTAAAACTCATCGTCATGGAAACCGATCGATTATTTTCTGTGAAATTTAAGAAAGGGATCATTGGAAATAGACAAATTTGAGAAAATAATTTTGATAATTATTATAAAATTTAAGCATTAAGATGTCTAAATGTGTATAAATTTGGAAAATACGAAGAAATTTTTAAAAATTATAACAGGGTAATTTATTAGTTCAGGCGACAATATATTTTACATTATAATTAATAAGGCGGCTAGTGTGGTCAGTGCGCATGCGTGTAGTGTCTGGGGTTTACTGATATCGTTAGCAAGGGCACCGCACCCAACGTCGTCAAATCTTCAACTCTGTTTGATATATGCCGTGAAAAAGGGAAATTTACCCAAGTCTTGATGACTATTTTGGCGGAAATTGTTAATATTCGACTTTCATAGGGTAGGTACGATCCATCGCAAATAATTTTCATCTTTTTAGAGGTTTATTCACTCTGTTTTTTTGTTCCCGTTTCTCGCCAGACGAACTGTCATGTCGATTGAACTGCTGTATGCAAATGTTGTAACCATCGCGATCTGATTGAAGTTTTCTGCTATGTTTTTGTCTACTAGTTGAATATTTGTTGGGTAAAGATCTCCAGGGTTCATTTATCTGTAGGTTTGTACCTAAGTTTGCTTCAGTTGATGTTTTTAATTGTTGTAATTTCTGCAAAGAAAATGAGTTCCGCTCGGTAGTTCCTAATGTAAATTATCAATGGCTTCTAATACAATGTTGCACTTTGTGTATAAATGTACATAACGTTTTGGTTTATTTGATGATGTCGGTGTATTTGATGTGGTGTTTGTGAAGCTCAAAAATCATACAGATTTCGAAAAATATGGCAAAATTCTTTGCAATTTGTGGAATTGGGATCAGAAAAGCTGCCTCATTTCCAAGATGGCGTTGATACCGGCATTGATGCTGTGTAGTATTGATTATGCAGAATTCTGGTCGCCATTTTAGTTTTCTTGAAATATTGCTTCCATGATTCTGATAATATTTACTACTTTGTGTGAACATTTGATGATTTTGGTGTAACAACTGGGCATTATTAAGTTTGATTACGTCATATTTTGATATTGGCCTAGGTTATCGCTTGTAAACAATGAATTATACCTCAATACATCTGTTTGTCTGGTAGTGTAGCTTATAGTGAGATTTATACCAAGGTTTTGTGTTGTATATTTTGGACATATGCAGGTGTTTTTTTGGCAGGTATTAGTGAAACATAAAGTTATGCAAAAGGATCAAAGTCTCATGTCCTGATTGCTATAAACTGGCACATGTTTTGAGTCTATTACGAAAATAATTAGAGCAGTAAGCTGATCAAATATACTATAGCCAGTTAATGTTTTTCATAATAGCTCATATCTAACATTGGAGCATATCTGTAGAACAAGTCTGAGCCTCTTGTTTTAGATAATACCATCTATCTTTGTTTTAGAATTTAGCTTTGTCTCTCATATTGTGCTGCATATAAATGAGTGAACTTCTCTACACCATAATGGGTTCATGAAAATTTGTTATGCCATGAATTGTGCAATGAGGGACATTTTGTCGGGGCCTACTCTTTTATTATTACTAGCTATAGAGAGGACTGAAGCGTTTGCAGTCTGTAGATATGGGACAGAGACCTTATTGCCTTCTTTTTAAGTGATCCTTTGGGCCTTGATTTATTGTTCTGTTCTAGGCTAGATGCTTTTGCCATGTCAGACATGGCCTTGACCTGCATCACTGACAGGGGCAAACCAGGTTGAAAATCCTAAAGGACATTTTGTCAGTATCTTAGCCTCAGATCCACCTGGTAGTAGCAGATGATTAATTGATATTTTCCCTAACGAGCTGTCTAATTATTAGACTAATGTGTGTCCCATTGTACCACCCAATTAGCAGGTGCCCCTTTGTTCTTCTCTTGTCAGGTACATTCATTATCTGGAACTGTTGTATCTGTTTTTATTGCAATAGCCCAATTTTTTTTTTACCCTGTTCAAGAACTGACACGTAGTAATGTCTGTATGAAATTTTAACTTAGGGCGTCGCTTCCTATCCACTATGGTTTCTTGTCTTTAATTTTGAAGCCACACTTCATATATCACTTGATAAAATTGTTGCTTTGGTTACCACTCACATAACAGTGAAAAATCCAGCAGATATATGACAAATTTTGGTAAAAAAACAGAATTTACCTTTTCAAATTGACCCTGTTAAAAGAAATCCTTTGCAAAGAATTAATCACACCATGTTATTAACATGATTTTCAAACATGTACACGTTCACTTCCCTCTAAAATAATACGATAATTGAAATATATAAATAAGTTTATTTGATAAAGGCCACGATTTTCCTCGTTCAGATACCGATACTCAATAAATCGGTTATCTTTCATTTGATCACAGAAAGCTCATAGAGGAATTTTATTTTTCTCAAATATTTTCAATTGTATGTATGTTGATATCATTGATTTTTAGAACCAGTTTGTCATTTCTGTTTTTTGTATTTTATTTCCTTTGGCAATTGTCGCAGAACATGAAATTTGCGGTTATGAATTAGAAAAGAATAGATGCAAAATTCTGAATGTTTTTCCCAATAAGTCATTTCTGTTTTGTGGATGTTCTTTCCTTTGGCAGTTGTTTCATAGTTAAGAATTATGGGGAAAAGGCAAGAAATAAACATTCAGAAGTTTTTGAAATGTAAAATTATGAATAACGAAGTTTTTCCTGTTTTTGTTTAGAGTGAGTGAGTGAGAAGGAAGTAGGGTATTGAATATAACATTGAGCTCAAGTTACACTTTGTATCTCATAGAAATATATACTTTCTAGGTCAGGATTTGATAGCTCATAATAGATGGACCGTTACTGAAATAAACCCTTATTTATATCAATTGAATCAAAATATAGGCTGAGACTATTTTGTGGTTGAAAATATTTTCCTTGAGGCAGGTCATTTTGTTGGTGATTTAGGCAAATTCTTAGATGGCTGACTGGGGCAAGTTAAATGACCCCATAATAGAAAACTGTAGGACAAAACTATTTTGTGGTTAGAAAATATTCTCCTTGAGGCAGTTAATTAATGATTGGGACAAGTTCTAAGACGACCTACATTAATCAAGTCTTTTGGTGAAAAAAATGAATAATTAAGATCACTAACTATATACTGTGTTGATCTTACAATCTTATCTCACTGTTATCTTTTTTCCTGTAATATCTGATTTCCATTCTTTATTAATTTGAATTTAATATCACTGAATCTGAAAACAAAATTTGAAGTCATTTTAACACAACCTAATGCGGCTTGTTCTAATTTCCCATTTTCTTGTCTTTTTCAGATTTTTTTTATTACTAGAAATTAACCATGAGTAGTGAACTAGAGGCCCTCCGCCAGGAAACTGAGCAACTTAAAAACCAAATTAGGGTAAGTACAACTTGTATTTCTTTATGTTATGGAAAAATGGCCTCGAAATGAAATGAAATGGCGTTATAACTTTCAAGAGTTCATTATTATACTCCTGCCATCTAAAATGAAGAATGTTTTCTTTGCCAGTTGTTGGCTCTTGATTTCAGCTAGTGTAGTTCTTTTCAGAGTTATATTTCTACACCCTGTTCTCTTACAATTCAACAAAAAATAGGCTTTGAGTCACTTTAAAAGGGATTGTAAAAGGATTTTCTAAACTTTTTATGTGTATCAGGGACACTGATAGCATTGATTTGCACAAGTCCGATTTCAGTCAAACATCTGTTATTCTTGCAATTCCACATAAACTAAGCATTTCTTAGATCTCACCATTTTTGGCAAAAAGTAGTGTCATATACAGTTTGGCAATTCCATAATTACAGGAACCACAAAGGTCTGACACAAAATTATGTTATTAATGGCCCAATACACACAGAAAAATAGCTAGAAAACCTCTTTACAATCCCTTTAACAGTCTCTCATACAGTGTATTTAACAAGCCTCTATTGATTATCAGTATTCAGTATAAATTAGATACATGTAATGACTAGGTCATAGACCACACCCAAGGATGTAGGGTTGGTCCTTCCTATTCTCTCTATTGTAAATAGGATTAATATCCCACTCTTCCATCAATATCATCATGCATATTCATTGACTGATACTCTGCAAGTTCATGAATATTCATACTATGAAAATTTGGTGATATAAATTTGACTATGTCCTCCAAAATTCCTCTCATATGTTCAGTATTTTGTTTAGTTTAGTAGTCTAGTTCAGATGATATATATCGGTGATAAGTGCCCCAAAAAAAATGTCAATAATTTCGAGTGAAATCAATATATTTTTACTATTTTGTAGCAAAATATGTACCAATTGATATGAATGATGATCAGAAAATTTTAAAATTCTCTAAAAAAAGAAAATGAAAAAAAGTCTTTAAAATCAAGAACGATGTATAGACACATCTTAGCTGAATAAGCAGGTCATAAAGCTGGGTATAAAACCAAAATAGTATTTACATGAATGGTTTTCATTTGTGGATCTGTTTTAATTTCAGGAGGCACGAAAAGCTGCCGCAGATGCCACCCTTACGCAGACTACCGCACAGTTAGAATCGATTGGTCGGATTCAGATGAGAACTCGACGTACCTTACGAGGACATTTAGCAAAAATATATGCCATGCACTGGGCATCAGATTCTAGGTAAGTCAGATTGAACGCTAATCCTCCATTTTACTCTGGTGGAGACGGACGCTCTTATTCTTTGTTTTACTGAGTGCTAATACGATCTGATACACATACATTTCTGACTCCATAGCAAGTGCTTTCTAGAGTGGTCTAGATGTGTGCTTTCAACCCCATTGCAATGAACTTGCCACATGCACATTTTTGGCTTTAACGTAATGCAATTGTACACTTTTGTCAACTTGCACATAGAGAATTTCACGTAACATGAATTTAACGAGAGTAAAAGCATGTTTTGGTTTGAAATTTTGTGCATGATACCCTGTAGAGGTGTGCTGCCTGTCACTATCCTCTCACTAATTTGTGTCAATGTTCCCTTGTTTTGTTCATCAGTTCTGATTTTGTTCCACCCCCTACTCTCAACCTCAAGTTTTATTTTCATTTCTAACTTTCTACTAGGGTAGTTTCAGAGTAGCTTGACCTATTTTTGTTAAGTTAAATTTTAATTTGAAGAAATTTTATTATTTAGAAAGACATTAGACCACTCTTTGAATGACTTTCTTAAAGGTGTTTGTAAGTGTAGGCATTCTTTGGTTAGCTCACAAACACCCAATATTGTCCAGAAATATTTTACCTGAGCATAGACACAATGCTGAAGACCGTTCCATTATTTGTAGTTTTGAACAATTGTTCATGTTCTGTTTGAATTTGAAAAATTATGGAATATTATTGGCCAAACCTTAAGCTTAAAAGATCGATGTTTGAGCAAAAATTTGATTGAATTGTTCCATGTCAATATCATTATGAACAATTCCCAGGAATTTATTCTACTCTGAAACTTCCTGTTGTATTTTTTGTGTGAAAATCTCTAATTTTGTTTCATTTCATTTTGTTAGGATTCTTAAGTAAGTAGAGATGCGGAAATCTGGCCTGTGTTTCAATAAAAAATCTTGCGACCAACCTTTGTCTCTTGAAAGTGGAAAAAAGGTCCTCGAAAAATCCAAATTTGGGGTCAAAATTTTTTGGAGAAACCGGGCCCAGCTTCCAAAATATAGAATTATAGCGTAAAAAAATATACCCAGATGTAATGATAGATAAAAAAAAATACAAAAATAAATGTTTATAGTTGGTGTTTTATTTTAAACCAACCAAATTACATCGTTTAATTTTCACAGTGGGGAACCTTTTACTAACAATATCATTTTAGATCACATTCTTTTATTTTTACTTTCGAATATACTTAGAAAAATATTCTCAAAATTTCATTCTTAGAATATTCTTTCTTAGAAAATATTCTGTAAAAAAAATATTCTTAAAACAAAATACCACTTTGAGGTTTCCCAAAGAATATCATTTCTGTAGATATGTTTGGTAACGATTCAATACATATTGTCATACTTTTGATTCATTTCTCTTTTGGAGAGTTATCAAACTATTTTGGCTATACTGTGAGCTTAGTGATATGTAAATAATAAATAAATATGATTAAGGAAAGATAAAGATGTGAATTGGTTGGTATTTATGTAAAATCTAATAGGATAGTAACACTGTTTAATTTAGACAATAATTGTTGTAAAATATACCCCATGTTGTAAATTAGTTAGCTATGTATAGATACAATTATCAATTTTGCTAAAAAACAAACCAGCTCTGTACAAAATAATTCTCTTGTTAAAATCTAATATCCTTTGTTAGGAGAAAAAAAATGTCTTCCTTCCATGTTTAAGGAATACCAGATATGACCGGTGTAGCACCAGGCAGGGTATGCTTACTCTTCTAGAAACCTGATGCCACTATTCATCATGAAATACTTACTCACTTATGATTGATATACTTTCACATGAAAAGTACCTTAGCTGCTCTCAATGGTTTGCCAACATGTTTAAATTTCGGTGTCGTTTGCGATTTGGAGCATTAGTACTTGGTTTATTTATATGTACTCAGTGACTGGGTTTGTAGATTCACCATCCTTTCAGAGTTATTTTATATTGATTTAGGGTTGTCAATTCAAAATCCCCTTCATTGAGCTAATAATGACTTTGTGTGCTACATAAGGGTAAACTTAAATTACAGTCAAATACTTTTCAGTCTTGAATTAATGATTGTTTTCCTTATACAAGCATTGGAATTTTCATAAATGAACAGAACAGTAGGATATAAAACTCCATTTCATTTCATTAGTCCAATAAGGTACAGAACAGTAGGATATAAAACTCCATTTCATTAGTCCAATAAGGTACAGAACAGTAGGATATAAAACTCCATATCATTTCATTAGTCCAATAAGATACAGAACAGTAGGATATAAAACTACATTTCATTAGTCCAATAAGGTACTGAACAGTAGGATATAAAACTACATTTCATTAGTCCAATAAGATACAGAACAGTAGGATATAAAACTCCATTTCATTTCATTAGTCTAATAAGATACAGAACAGTAGGATATAAAACTCCATTTCATTAGTCGAATAAGATACAGAACAGTAGGATATAAAACTATATTTCATTTCATTAGTCCAATAAGGTACTGAACAGTAGGATATAAAACTCCATTTCATTTCATTAGTCCAATAAGATACAGAACAGTAGGATATAAAAATCCATTTCATTTCATTAGTCCAATAAGGTACTGAACAGTAGGGCATAAAACATAGAAGTAAAATTCCAACTTTGTTTCAGGTTTATGTATATCAATGTTTGTCAATATTTAATATTAATGTTGTTATTTATATTTTATGTTGTGACTATTATGAATATTTTAGTATTCCTATTATTTTCAAACACTTAGCTTTATTGTTTAGGTCCCTAGATATCTCTTTTGATGTTGTTGCTTAAATCTACTTTGAAATTAAAATGCATCAGTTTCTAATATATATACCATATATTATTTATACATCATGTTATGTAAAGTTTCTAAGTTCACTTTTCAATGGTGTTTTGAATCGTTATTTAAAAACTGGTATGTACCTATCAAAGACCAATTCACCCAAATGAGATGAAATGAGTCCAAAAGATATTTAAGATTCTAAGATATTTGGATATACTTGTATAAAATTTATGAGCTCTTCAGCAAAGCTAATTGAAGTTTGAACAGAACTATCTCTAGTTGCTGACACATGTTTCAGATACAAAATCCTCATCAGGACAGGTTAACTTTTCAATATGTTTGAGGAAAGTATGCAAAAATTGTCAAAAATTCGAAAATGTATCACCTTATGTCATATTTCAAACTCATCAAGATGTAAATGCTTCAATATAAAGGACCTATAATTGGCCCATACTGCCATGTTAAAGAATTAAACGGAAATATTAAATAAGACCAGACTAAGAACTGGATACAGTGAAAATAAAATAATGTTTTTATTAATAGACAGGGCTGGTTATTTAGAGAAAAACTCGATTCCGTTTGGCAGAGATTCAAAATCAATGGCCAGGATTAATTATCGGTGGAACTAAGACAGCGGAATCGGCAGACAATGACGGTGTTATTGATTATATATGAACGCTTTAATAACACCATACTGTATGTTGCACTCTCGCGTCATTTATATTGTGACATCGTGTCATGATTAATTGGTGCAACAGGGTTCGAATTTGGCCAGGTTGAAACTATATAACAAGACAGTGGAATCATTGGACTCAGTCTGCGTTGTTGATTAAATGAACGCTTTGATAACACCATATTGATATTGCACTAGCGCGTCATTTGTATTGTTAGATGTTATATGCCATCATGTCATCAGTTAGTTTGGTGCTTAGTGCAACAGGGTTCGAATTCTGCCACAATCATGTCAGCAACCTTGCTGTCATTTTGTAGCAGGGTTTGACAAGTGAAATGAAACAAAAAAGTCTGAATCTTGTCTTATGTTTTTGTCTGCATCTCAGTTTTATTCCACAGAGAGCAGTTAATGAATAGTTATTGCCCTGAACAACCATACAGTCATATCCTTTCAATTGTAGACATTGCAGTCTATTGAATCTAATAAATTGCCCTGAATTAATTTTATTTCACCAATCTGATTCAACACAGAAATATTAAAACATTAGATAATATAAATAACTCTAATTGTCAAGGACATTCAGAAAAGTAAGATCACAGAAGCTTTGTCCTCATGTTAAAGAAACAGAGAAAGAAGCATTTAATATTTGTTTACAGCTCTTCAAGAGATTGTCCAAAAAATTAAAACTAAAAAAATAACCTTGAAATAGAAAAAAGCATTGAATATTTCCATTCTTATACAGAAATTAAAACTCTCGGAATAAAGAGAGAAGTATTGAATATTTTCTTACAGCCTCTTTAAGAGTTGCTTAAAGTAATTTTAAACTATAAATAGCCTGGTAAAAAAAAAGAACCTGGTGAATTAAAAGATAAAAGTTCAGAATGACCTGTAGATTAAATACTGCAGATTGCTGGTTTTCGATCGTTTGTCTTCATTCTGCTACCGATTCCATTCTGTTGTATTGATTTTCCTAGCGGCCATCTTGAGAATGTGTCATACTATTGTCTGCAGTACTAGAATTTACTACCATTATTCACTCAGCGATCTTCATATTGAAACGCTTTGTATCGTTCACTAGAAGAATCTATCTTTCTCAACTTTAAGATCAGATTTTTAGTTTAGTCATAAACAAATCTTTGCATTTAAACGGTTTTTATCTTTCACTGGAAATGATTTGTAACTTGTAAAATGAATTTGATAAGATGAGAGTTACGTTATATGAAAGTATTTGTATTAGTCATCGATAAAACATGCACACACAAAAAAAGAGATGATTATAGAATGAAATCAAAAATAAATACAGTGTACGCTTGTAAAATATTGATGAAATGAAATAGGAAATAAATTTACATTTATGAAAAAAATAATTAATATTCATAATGTTAGGGCTGCAACAATCCACCGATGCACAGCGAGTCTTTCCTTCTTATCGATGGATTGCGTTGGATGAATAATCGCGATGCATTGGTATTTTATTACACAATTCTCTTCTAGATGTTCACATGTACTAAATTGTTATAATTCTAAATATTTCTACTATTTTTTCTCTTTCCTTCTCTAATTAATGAATCACGATTATTATTGCAATAAAGAATTCCCTTCATTGCACACTGCATGGTGTTGCATGTCCTCGTTAGACAAATCAGGTACAGAAAAATCAGACATAAAACTCCCTTTCATCTCATCATTCCATCCCACAACCTGTGCCGCTTTGAACACTGAACCAGTCATCAGTGAAATTAAAATGCTAAAAACATCGATACTAATAAATGGTTGATGCACTTAATGTAGATACCAGTTTTTATTACGTCGATTTGATTTGATACATTGAACGTCATTTACCTGCTTCAGCCTTGAAAACTAATCAACATTTTATGTTTTTTTATTGTGTTTCTATTGGCAACCGTTTTATTTTATTCTCTAGTGAAATTAGAGAACATTCATTTATTTTACGTGATGTTTTCCCGTTAAAAAATACGACTTTAATTAATTGCTATTTTGGTTTAATGTCTTGTTTCGCTCATTAAAAACATGTTTTTATCATATAGTAACTTCACATGACCTAGATTTAAAATGATTTTGAAAATGAAAATTTGAAAAAATGTTCTGAAAAATAAACTGAAGAAAGAACATTTTGAAGCTGAATTTGATATTTTTGGGAGACAAAATTCTGATTTTGCTTCGATACATTCCATATGAATGAGCTATAGAAATTTGGAAGTTAAAAAACATATATTTTATCTTTATTCACAAAATACTAAGTGTTATCTTTTACAAAAAAAACTAAAAGAATTAATGTTTGATCTTGTAAAGTGCTTTTACGTCATTTGAATTCTTTTCTCTTCTTTCTATTGGAATGTCATTAAACAGAAAAAAATATTTTCTATGAATGAATTTTGAGGGTTGTAAATCATGATTTAAAGTTAGGATGTAGGGTAAACCAAAAATAACCCTATTTATCAAAAAGTCTTTTGTCATTTGTGTGCTATTTCTTATTGTAAAATTTTCCATTTATGATAAATTTTCATTAAATTTTTGAGAATTGGAGAAATTCTTACCACAAATTTTTATCAAAAGTTATAATTTACTCCAAAAAAATTTATTGTAAGGATTTTAGAGAAACCCAGACCTGGGTTGTTAAATTGAATCAGAGCTCATGATTTTTATGTCGTTGATGTACATTTTTGGTTTTTTGTCTTTTTTAGGAATCTTGTATCTGCTTCACAAGATGGTAAACTTATTGTATGGGATGGATATACAACTAACAAGGTAAAAATATGATAAATTATGTTACCATGGAAATGTTAATTTTTCGTTGTCTAATTATGTATTGTCATTAATCAGGTCAAATCATTACCATGGCATTGATATCTATCTTTGAAATATTTCTATGTATTGTGAACAAATTTGAAAATTGTATGTCCTTTGTCAAAGCTGAGTGCTTGTCCTTTTTGGCCTAAACTGGGGAAGAAAAGTAGGATGTAAAACTCCATTGCTGGTGGACAAAACTTTCTCCAAGATCATTTTTCAAACTTCAAACTCCAAATATTTTTTTGTTAAATATTTTGTACCTTGAGAATATCAAAACTTTATCCAAAAAAATGAAAGAATTCAACTCATTGTATAAAAACGTATAGAAAAGTTGTCTTTGAATACCAGATGCTAGATTTGTAGCCTCAAGACAGGCTGAGATAATTAGCTTGTAGAAGCAGATGGTGCTTTTCTTATTTCTTACATTATTTCAACATGTTAATTCAAGGTTATTTTTCATATTTGAAAAGTAATATAAATTGGCCTTTGTTTAGGTTACATAGTGCATAGTGTTTTACTCTTAAAAAGGCACGGTAAACTTGGGAAGTGAAAATAAAAATGACACAATTTGATGTTTTACTTTAACAAGTTGTTAAAAAGTTATGAAAGTTATTTATTAATCATTCTTCCATCATTTATTAATCATTCTTCCATCATTTATTAATCATTCTGTAATTAATGTATGTGAAAGGCATTTTTTTTTTTCATCCGCTCATTCATTCATCATTCAATCTATATATCTTCCGTCTATTTCCAGGTGCACGCTATCCCTTTGAGATCTAGTTGGGTTATGACCTGTGCCTATGCCCCATCAGGTAGCTACGTAGCTTGCGGTGGATTGGATAATATATGTTCCATATATAGTTTGAAAACTCGAGAAGGAAATGTTCGAGTTAGTAGAGAATTACCAGGCCATACTGGTTATCTATCTTGTTGTAGATTTATTGACGATAACCAAATTGTCACAAGCTCAGGAGACATGACCTGGTATGTACACATATGTTTTTGGGATTCCATTTTCTAAGGGATATGGCAAGAACCATAACTTCAGTTTTACAAAATAATGGTATCTGAGGGAAGAGGTGTCTTTTATTAGGATTATTTGTATATGCTGTTCGAATACATTGTTGGATCTGTTTACCCTCATTGCATACTGTGTTGCTTTGTCCATCTTTGATTGCCTGATAAAGAGCCAAGGGAACAACTGAAATTTTCTTGTCCAAAAAAGAAACAACTCAGTACATAAAACTAGGTTTCAACTCACTAGCACAAAGAGGTGCAAAAACTTTCAGGTAACATTCTTGTTTCTTCTTTACGAATCTACCCTTGTTTTTTCTAGTGCATTGTGGGATATTGAAACCGGTCAACAAACAACATCATTCACTGGCCACACAGGTGATGTCATGAGTCTGTCTCTAGCCCCGGATTTTAAAACATTCGTATCGGGGGCATGTGATGCTTCAGCTAAGGTAAGGCTTCTGTCTAAAGTTTTCAAGAGTTAACATCTAAGTTTATCTTAATTCCTCCACAGTTGGAAAACAAAAAAAAAACTATGATTATCTCCTTGACAAGGAGACATTGACTGGTTACTTTGCTTACGGCAGTGTTGATTGTTACCTGCTTGACTTGAAAAATTTCACTTTCATTGCTTTCATGGTCTTGACTCAATATCTGTTCTCCTATGAAATTGATTCAACTTATTATCTATTTTTTTCAGCTATGGGATGTGAGAGATGGTATGTGCAAACAAACATTCTCAGGACATGAGTCCGATATAAATGCAATTACAGTAAGTTACTTTACATTTTATAACGGCAAAAAGTTGTCACTATTATCACTGTTTCAGATAAGTTTCTGAAATCAATTCCTCATAATACCTCAGTTTTGTTTCTCTTTGACAATACACAGTCAAAACTAGCTATCCATATGATCAGAATCACAGACAACTTTGTTTCTTTCTACAATATGTAGACCAGTAAGAATACTCATCTCACACAACTAATCCATGACTTAACACACCTAATCTTTAAGACAACACTTATTTCATTCCTGCTACCTATGGTTGTTTTTGATTTTGGGTCAGTTAACGGGTCGTTTACCAAAATGCTAATCCACGTTTTTTTCTTTCAGTATTTTCCTAATGGGTTTGCTTTTGCTACTGGCTCTGACGATGCTACTTGTAGACTGTTTGATATCCGAGCAGATCAAGAAATAGGAATGTATTCCCATGATAATATCATTTGTGGTATCACTTCTGTGGCCTTTTCCAAGAGTGGACGCCTTCTGATGGGAGGGTATGATGATTTCAACTGCAATGTTTGGGATGTATTGAAACAAGAACGTGCAGGTGAGTCAAGTCATCAATTTGATTTAAACTTATGTAACTTTGTGATTTCCTAAGTCAAGACATCTTACATTATGAACTGAGTGTTTTATTAACTTTATCATTAGGACAAAGAAAAAGTTTTCAGCTCATAAAACTTTTGTCCATTGCTTTTATAATTTTGCCAAGGGTACAAAGTGTAGGGGTACAATACATGTAGATATAAATAAATCCAATTTTTACCCTATTGCAATCTGTTAAAATTCTGCAGTAGAGTTTTTTTTTTTTTTTTAAATGACCTCATATTTTGAACCATAATCTCATTTAAAACTTTTCACCTTAAACTATTGATCTCTGGAGTGACCACAGTTTAGTCTGGACTATAAATAGAGTGTAAAACTACATTTCATTATATTATAGAATGGGAATGTTCTATTAGCCCAATATGGTCCATAACAGTAGGATATAAATTACATTTCATTTTATTAACTCAATAAGATACACAGTGTTAGACTTAACAGTAGGGTGTTCAACTCAATTCCAATAAATTTATTTATGTTACAGGTGTATTAGCAGGCCATGATAACCGTGTAAGCTGTCTAGGAGTAACAGAGGATGGAACAGCCGTGGCTACTGGCTCATGGGATAGCTTCTTAAAAATCTGGAACTGAGGCGAGAAATAGAACGCTTCACGTTTTGGTGTCTTGTTTGCTTTTCTTTCTACGTTAAGTTAGCTTAATAAGGGAGATCAGCAGGACAAAAAATAATTATTAAACTTGATAAACTGGTCATAAAAACAACTCAAATCATCTAATATGGAAAATGTGGTAGACATTGTTTTTTTTTTCTGTTTTTTGGCCAGTGTTTGAACGTAAAATTCTAAATGATGTATAACAGTTGTCTATAATGGAGTTATCTCCTTCTACCGCATAAAGATGTGTTTGGAAGACCTGTATATATATAAATCTTCGTACTATATTCAGACTCTATATACAAACTTCTGTTTTTTTTGTCTCTCTCTTTACACGTCAATTTTTCAAAATATTGTCTATCCTTGTAGAATCATCCACCATTTTGAAAATCAACGGCTTTTTTTATCTTCGTTTCCAAACTCTTCAGTTGGATGTACGAATCGTAGATCATTGCTGCTCAATTTACATATTAACATTGGTACACAATTTTTATTTCCCTGTCAATAATTTATGCGAATCTGTTTAATATGTCAATTATTAAGCAGGACTTTTTGTCGATGATAAACGCGAATCTGTGTTGATATTCGACAAGCGACCATTTTGTTCTATATATAAACTTGATGTTCAGTTTTTTCTGTGGGTGGAAAACTCCACGAAGATGTCGATGTATGAAGTGGATTTTATTTCTGGATTTACTTTGGAATGTGACGTGGTTATTATAAGTATCGGATCTGACGACTGGAAAATATTTGTGGATAATTTTCCGCGGAACTTTTCTCGAAAAATGAAATTTGGATTATATGAACTTTGTCATAATTTTGAATGAGTCTTGGATTGAAAATGAAAATCTTATGTAGAAATGAGTTCGTTTAGCATTTGAAATAAATCGAGTGCTGGTCATGTGGTTAACAATTTTGGGGTTCGTGCAATTTGTAAAAATGAAAATTAATTTGTCAATATCTTGTAAGAATGTACAGATATTTTTAAAAATAACAGCTTCGATACTAAAATTTTTCAAACTGAATTGTTTTCATTGTTCATTACTTAAGTCTATTCAAACATTTATGACTTTTATATTGTCTGTGTACATATGACTTCTATTTAATTCAAGCAAGGCATTTTTTGTCTGCGGCAAGTTTTCCAAAACATCGGCAAAAGTTTTTAAATTTCTAGTGTCTTAAGTTAAATAGATTGTCAGTAATAATAATAATGAACGTACTTTTAAAGAATGTAACAATTTTATACTTTTAATAGGTGCAGTATTAATTCAACTTTTGAGCGAAATTTTGGAAAACTTGTCCTGAAAATTTTTAGATTAGTTGTCCTTATGATAATGTCGATGTGATGAATTTGAAAAATAATTTTCATCTCATTTCGAACTTTCTTGTATTTATACAAAATTTGTGTTTCCTGATCTATAAAAAAATATGTATGAAAGTTATATGTCGCTGGAATTGGATATTGTGCTAAATTTTTCAGATATTTGGGGAATTGCAACGCCTCGAAATATTTTCAGCTCATGTCACTAGGATAGACTTTGATGTATTTTTGTCAACTTTGCGACGTCATGTGAATAGAGGTGTTTACAGAGCCTCGAGTAAATATGCCAACTAAACTGTCAAAATTTTGTATGAATTAATTAATGATACTGAAATATATATGACTGACAGGCTCTGGAATACTCTGTTCAGATGACGGACATTATCACCCATCACTGAGGTCACATACCATAGTCCATATTAATTTGAAGATCAAATTCCAATATTTCAACTGTGTATGTGGAATCATACTGGCATCACCTAGTTTCATGATCTGTTTGTGATGAAATTACTTACTATTTACCAATTAATATAACTGTGAAGCTTAAGACCTTTAGACCAGTGGACAGCATGAAACCCCACAAGATCTGTTGATATATATCTTTCCTTGAGGCTAGCCTTGACATCATACCTTGATTCGTTAAACAACTATAAGAATCAGTGTTGTGACTGATAACACCAACACTCATGCCTATGAACCACAGTTAAGGCTTGTCTCATAGGCAAATGTTGAAATGCCTTGATTAAGAATCAGAGTTGTAACAAATAACACCAATACAGTATGATAGTCTTTTAAACAGTTTAAAACCATGAACCATTGAAGTGTTATAAGCCTGTATATCTGTTCTCTAATCATGCCTAGATTCAGTGAACTGCAATAAGAATCCAGGTTATGACTGATAACACCAACAGTTTTAATACCATGAACCACAGTTAGGGCTTGTCCCATGAAGTGTAGAATTCCATCATATTAGTAATATTTAAGTAGTTACCTGGCAAACAGACCATTAAGCTCAATGTATGCTTTATCCTGAGGAAATTTAACACATTGCTTGTCCCTGTGTCTGTTAGTTTTTCTTCTATCAGTATGATTGAGTGACGCTTTTCTTTATTTTTTTCGTTTAAAACAAGCGGTGTACATCCCCATTCTATCGAAGTGTACACAAGATTCATTCATTAGCCTTCAACTCTTGTCGGAATCTTGGTTCTAATTATTGCATTCTCATTTTTGAGATGCACTCATGGCTTGCCCCAAAGAAGCTTTAGGAGACCACAGATGCCCCAGTCTGACAAAGAACTTTACACAATTGCCAAGTGATTGCTGAGTTGCTGGACACTCTAAATCAAAAAAACTCTTTAAGTTTTTGGGCTGCAGCATCCAAATAAGGACTTAAGCTCTGACCTAGAATTGAAGGTTTCATCCCCCAATATTTATATTATTGTTTTCTTTTCTTTTTGTTATTTTATTATTCAATGTAGATCATAAGATATTTAAAAAATAGTTGAAACCAGAACTATTCTAATGTACTGAATTTTTAATTGGATATTTCCGTCTTTTGTCTGAGATCCTCATGAGATTTTCATTGGCTGCTCGTGTTTAATATCATGTCTATGAGTTGTCCAGGGGAATTTGGAGGATGATTTGGACCATCAGGGACTTGTCGGACAATCAGAATTGTCAATTCTTGTATTCAATTTTCAAAGCATCTCATTGGTTAATAATTTAAATACACCTATTGAGATCCGCCAATCAGATTTCTTGAATAGATTTGCATGTTAAATTTTGACTATTCTGACAACGTGCCTGTGTTAAACAAAACTGCTTTGCCATGCTCATTCATGCTAACGATCTTAAAATAATTCTATTACCAAGCAAAGCAGTGCACAAAAAGCATTAAATATCAAGAATTCAGTATATGAGGATATGTTTCTTATGATCAACTGCAATCATTATGTGTGTGTGTCTTCATCCATGTATCAAGAGTATCTAATAAAGTTGTCTTCATTTAACCACTTGTATTTTTCCCTTACTGAATTGGAGAAATCGGCGATATGCTAAAAATAAAACACATGCATGACTTGAGTAAGACAAACCACTTTTACAACTGTTCAAGTTTTGCATCAAACCACGCAAACCACCTCTATGACATCATGGCCGATCTCTCCTATTGGGTCCTGTAACTTTTATCCCTAGACCCGATCCCGATATTTAATGGAGGCATAGAACCTTTATCCCTGGACCAAGTCCCATAGCATCCTTGGGTTAACCCTGATTCAATTGTCAGAACAATTGCAATCTTCCGATTAAAAGATTTCCACATACCATAGCGATTACCAGCTGCGTATGGTTGCTAAAAATATAGATATGTAAGGTTTCAAAAGAGATACTCTCTCATAGAAGCACTGGCATTGGTCACAAGTAGAGACTATGTGGTCATAAGTTCCGAAAGCAACTCGAAACTCAGCTGCATGAGAGTTGCGTTCGAAACACATTACCACCATTCTTTATTTGCAACCATACGCAATGATGATCACCATGGTGCGAGGGCACCTTAAGACCGTGTGTACTCAAAAACAAGAACTTGAGTCAAAACCTGCTGTATCATTGAATGAACAGGTTGTGTATTACATTCGCAATCATATAGTGCATAGTCCCTCAGGAATGCTATGCTTTTATCTCCAGTGTGTTCTGATGTCATAGCAGTCGGGGCCAGGGACAAATGATTTTCCTATACGAAAAGGTTTTGGTCCAGAAGTAGGAAGCCGTGGTGGCTCCTTGAGTTTGTCACATGCCTGCTAACCCGAAGGTCCAGGTATTAATCCCGGCACGATATTGGCCCCTTCGACATACATCACAAAGGGAAACCCGGTTGACAGATCCGAATGTATCAACCGTTTAGGATGACCTATGTCGGGATTGTTATAACGTTTCGGGTGAGGGGAATAGGGTCAGAATTGTCAAGGGGAGGGAGGCTAAAACGTCTTTGAAAGGCTCGTCATAACATCAAGCCAGCTTGAGAGTCATTCGTGCTCTAAAATGACCACAATCGTATTTGGGAAAATAGTGAATGTGTATAAACAAGGGACCGATCGGTACACTTGAATGAATGTTAAAGTCAAGGACAAATAAGGCGAGGTGTACAATGGAAAGGGGTTTGAGAGTTTGTAAAATTAATTCACCTGAAATCTTACTGAGCACGTGCAAATTGATTTTGTGGTGTCTACAATTTGCCGAACTGTCTTAACTCTCTTTAATCGTAGCACAATACACAATGTAGCTGTCTGATCAATAAGTTTGGCATATTATAGCCACCAAAATGTAAAACAAATGGCGGCGTGTGGGGTTTTTGATCAAAGTTTTTACGATGATTGCAGGTAATAACGTCTACTTTTTTCAAATATAGTATAGGTATTTTACGCCCACACAAGGGAATACAGTTGTTCTCCAGTAGAGAACCCTGTTGTACTCTGGTGTTATATATTTGTATACCTCAGGATGCATTTCGATGGCCCCTCCCCCACCCCCTCTCGAGAACGGCACTATCAGCTACCTCAGAATGTAGACTTATATTGGTTGGCCCATCCGTCAGTTTCTTTGTGAACGCGATACATACTACAGTTCGATCCGATTGGTGAGATCGCGGATCAGTCCGATATTCGCGACCTTCTAATGAATGGATTTTGAGTTATTGCCCTTGACACAGTCAAAAATTAGTAAGTAGTACCCTCTGAACGCTATAGAGACGATTTGAGATCGTCTATCAACTGGGTCGATTGGAATACATAATGTACAAACATGAATTATTCAGCACAACTTTCAGCTGAGCCGAAGAAGGATGATTTTTTTCAGTAGCCATTTACTTCTGCGTTGACACATATGACTTACTCGGTACCTATTTAAAACTGTGTTGACAAAAATGAGAAAGATTGGACGACTGGAAAATCCCGGCCGTCAACCGATGACGTCAAGTTGAAAAGAGCGATCATAATGAAGGTAATTAAGGTCGTTAATTAGTTGACCCCTGATTGACCTCATTACAGACAATGTTGATTAATATGATATATAATATTCAAAATTGACGCACATTATTCATTTTAATTCTGTCACTGACAAACATGATTTAAGGCAACCTGTGACGTCATGCCCAAGGTTTCAATGACATAACTGGCTACCTTACACGCCCCTTGACAAGTGGCGGAGCCGAGGAGAGGCAGAGGGGACAGCCTTCACCGAATGCAAGTTTTTCGGGCATGACTTTCATAACTGGGTTAGAAATTAAGACAACCTCAGATATTTCGCCCCATCCCCTCGGACGTCAACCTGG